AGAATTCGAGAAAAGTACCGTATTTTCCCGATCTTAAGACTCACTTTTAAACATTTTAAATTTTCTAAAATCAGGGTGCTTCTAAATCGAATGTGCGATTTCTTCTTCTTAAAACCTATTACTAAATCAAAAGTATGTCTTACAATCGAAGGTGTCTTAAAATAACGCAAATACGGAATTTAAACGTACAAAAATGTTTGATTGACGTAAGATCGCAATTGGTACAGCCCCTATCACAAAATGTGACAATATTTCGATCAAACGTGCTTTTGACACAATAATAGTTACTTAAAGCAACAACACAGATTACACGATGCCCATGTTTTGCACACTTGACTGATTTCTCAGAAAATTTTCAGGAATTCAGTAACAAAAGTCACAAAATATTTTCGTTTGCTTCAGACATCAAAGCACCATTCTGGTGGGGTACAGTACCTTCACAGCATTTGGTATACGACAAGAGTTGTTTATCTTTGTTGTGTTGTCGTTTTGAGGTTATTCTGGTGTGTCTGAGTCTACGTCTGGAGGTCCTTGCCAAACTTTCCTTTAGATTCCTTGCAAGATGTCAGTTTTCTATTCTTCATCTGCTAGAGGTCCATGTTTTGATCAAGCAAGTTTCATTGTCCCAAGAGCAGAAGCAAATAGTATCTAATTTGGCTTTCTTCTCCCCAAATTGAAGTAGACATAACCTCTCGAACGATTTCTGTGTACGGTGTATTGTTTTTGACAAGAATTTGCATAACATCGTAAGACTCGAAACGCTGATGGTGGGTGAGATCGCGCGATTTGATACGATTTAAGTTTACGCGATAGGTCACGGTGGTTTTCATGCACCGGAGCATTTACCTTAGCTGCTGACACGACTTGAGGTCGCTTGTGTATAAGAACTGTTGTCCATTACGACAGAATGTTTCGGAAACCGTCCGTGTGAAAAATGTTAAGACTTCTGCTATGTGGAAGATACTGGGATACTGGGAACGATCCGTTCTTCAAGTGCCTGAACACTGCGGGTCCCAACTTTTCGTTGGCTCGATCTGTAGACATTCGGTAGGACTCCTTAGACGAGGGATCGGCCCGTCGCAAGGCCTCACCTGTACACTGGACAGCACAACACAGAAAAACACGGACAAACATCCATGGCTTGAGTGGGATTCGAACCCACGGTCCCAGCGACCGCGCGGCCACTGCGGACCCCATGTGGAAGATAATAAGAGAGAAAGATGAATAAAAATGTGTTGGGGGAGGACAGACACGTAAGCATGATTCAGTTTGATTGAGTAATGGGGCCCTAAATAAATTGTTACAGGTGATCTCAGAATGTAACCAGACGCCCCTGATTGGAGGTCGTAGTAGTAGACTTATTTTCTACCTTTCTCAACATCGTAAAACTATATATCACGAAAGCTAATTTTATATAACATCAAGAACTCTTTTTTGTTTAAGGACACAGTTTCTAGATACAGTTACAAGGCAAACTCTCCTCTTATTCAAAAGTAGTTACTATAAACAAACTTATTTGCATTTCCAAAGGAAAATTATAACAGGACATCAGTACGTCTGCAAACAATCTGCAAGAAACGGCGATGAAACATTGTGAGAGTGTTGATCTACAAAGAATGTAAAGAAACCATTTGAAGGCAAACCAAACTGGTATTTTATTTGGCGTAGATTAGTTCTGTGAAGTATTTCTGGCCAGTTTATAGCTTTTGCTACGGTGCGGTGTAAGCCTAGCAAACATCTTTCAGAAGCTGCGTGTAAAGGAAGGAAGTGGCGAACGGATCAAAGAGGGGGAACGATACGCAGGAACAAGAGACCGACAGAGGAATGTGCGAGAGCTGTCACAGTCTCCATCAGATATATTTTCCCTTCCTATTTATTCATTTGGGAGATAGATAAAACTTTTCTGGGCCTTTATTCTGACACTCTTGACATACAGCAGTTCCATTCCTGTGTGACTGTGGGAGTTGGAATTTTGAATGCTACGTGGGGCATTCGGAGAAGCCGAAATAACAGTCACTTGTTCTGCTGGTTAATTCTCAGCAGTTCTTAACGTTTTCTAAGAATCAGACATAAATAGCACGCAGTCTATATTTTAAATGGACGCGCCGAATTAAATTAGAGCTTTTACACAGTGGGACATAATTCTTAAAGCCACTTACCAAAAGCGAGATGTTGGTATGACATTCTGCACATCTGGTTACATCCACAGGTTCACGATCAGCTCAGTCCATGTGGGATTTGTGGAGAAAATGGCATTGGAATAGGATTTTTCTACTAGGTATGTGGTTTTCCCTATCAATTACCATCCGTCATTGCTTCATATTAACTCATGCCAACTGGAAGATGGACCAAAGGGGCCGATGGAGATCCAGTTCAAGACACGTAGTCACGTCCCATCTTACCAAAACCGAACCGCGTTATCTGACATTTTTTCAATCTTTCTTTCTTTCTAAAAACAAAGATATTCATGGAACGAGGCAATATTTGTACATGTTTGTTCGTATTTATAATATTTCTCTCTATAATTGTGTTTACTACGATGACCATAATTTTAAACTAATTAATTAAAATAGTAAATAAACTCGTGATATTTCGGAAGACCTGGCCAGAGATGGTTAATATTAAAATGTATCTCAGGAAAATACTTTTGGGCGATGTGGTTTGGATTCATCTATCGGGGTCGGGCTTCTGTGAATACAACAAAGGCGTGAAATTTCTTGAGTAGTTGAACAAACTGTTGGCTTCTCAGGAATTTCTCTGATCCATGGCGACAGTTACTATTTGAAACATACATAATAGTTCTCAAACCCACACGTTTATCGACATGAAACATTGTATTCATCCAGTTTATCCAATTAAAGAACAGAGCTTCGTAGGCCTTGTAGCCTATCTCGCACAAACACGGAGTTGCACAAGTTGAAAGATTAATTCTAAAAGCGTGTATTATAATCTTGATAAAACCATGTTTGTCAGACATGGAATGTAAACCTGTCGATCGCTCACAGGATTTTCATTTCAAGACCATTGTTTATCAAAGACTTAACATGCGTGTTAAACCGGGCACTGCGAAAGATATTTATCTACACTGATTTCTAAGCTCGCCACTGAACACCTCTGTAATGCGAGGAGTTGCACAAGACATTCCATTCCATTCCATTCCATTCCATCTCACCTCCACAACGCACCTACCTAAAACCAATCTTAATATTATCGATCTACCATGTTCCAAGAGGTCTCTTCCCAGCCCATCACAGCCATAAAGTGTTTTAACTTTCCTAATGCATGCTGCCCCAACAACTGGACCTCCACATGCGACACTTCACAAAACGACTAAACAAATGACAATATATAATGCTTGCAGCCATGTTCCTTTATTACATTTGATCCACTGATTAAAATCGATGAGGCCGAAATTTCAGTTGTTTTTCGTTCGGTGAGTACTTGTCACAGACAAACACTTTATATGTCCCGAAATTTTGTTATATCTGGAAATTCCTTGTCAATATAGGCATTGCTAACTGCTTCACTAACAGTTTAAAACTATTTCGATGAGAAGTAATGTTCGAGAATTAACACGCGATCTACTCGTGAATGTGTAATGTCCGCACGCGCACATCTTCTGGGCGACTGGCGTGAATAGCAACCCAGCAAAGAGGTTACCTTGTCTGGGGTGATGGACAGAGTGGAAGAGGCCATTACACAAGGGTAGACCTGATTAATGACTTTATTTCCCTATCATGATCGTTGATGGGTAGATTTTTAAATGGTACGCTCTGCAGTAAGTTGCCTGCATAGGAAATAGTCCCTCGTTTCGTAATTTATAAACTGCTCACTTACTCAGTCCTTAATAGCTCTAAATATTTTCCTGCGAACTTCTGTCGAGGTAAAATATCACGTTTCACATACTATACCAGACCACCAGGAAAAACTATTTTGTATACCCTGATCTTCGGCGTTTTAGAAAGTAGGCAGGAACTAAATTATAACACGCATTTCCATAATCTGTTCTAATTAAGTTTCCAAGTATTTAAAGTTAAAAATCCCCTACAGGAAATTAACATCAGCAACATATATGAATATTTGATTTAGGTCATTGAATTCTAGGTCTTGGTGATTTATCTAACGACATGCCGGACAGCAAAATAAAAAGGCAGTGTGAGTAAAGCACCTATTGTCTTATTCACTGTGAACTAGAGAAGCATTTTTGAAGTCTACTATACAGAGTGGGTGGGAAGTAAGTAGGCATTGAGAAATGGTTATAACCTCCATATTTCCAATGCAAAGATAATGAAAATAATTTTTACATATACCTTTTTAAATGGAAATGCCTACTTACTTCCCACCCACCCTGTACTTCTCATGCACACTAATTATAATAAACCTAACGAGTATCTTGGTTATTCGCAATTGATTTAAAATATTATACAGCAGGCGGCTAATTTTATTAATAAGTACAGATTTAAACAATTTCTGAAAGGCAGACGTTTAAAATAAGTGATGGAAAATCTTTTAAAATGAACCAAACTCAAGCTAGATAAACTTAAACGAAAATATTTTCGAATGCTCGTTGCGAAGAAACGAAGTCATCTGGTGAAGTTAGAGATTAGTCAGCTAACCATTAAGCCGTTCACACCTATTAGGCCAGCGTGCAATATAAGCCATTATCTCGTTATTCCGGTGTAGATCTGTTATGTAATTATACAAGCTGATTAAAATCCTACAAAACCAAGGCGACGTAATTCATCTGGATACCTGCGACACAAAACAGATGAATTTCCGCGGAGCTACTTTACTGGCAGCAGAACAAAACCTCCATGAACCGATTTAAACGAGAGACTCCGTTAAATAATAAATACGGTCTAAATATTTACAACCAACATCTGCATAATGCTAACATTATTTTAAAATGCCGCGCGAAGTACGATTTCCGGAAATTGACGAAATTAAACCGAATTCATTACGAACAGCGGCGCTGTACGCAGAAGACGAGTCGTGTCGATACATGCAAAAGTGATAGACGTGTACTTACTTATAACTGGGTTAATTCGCTTGTAATTAGGATATAAGACAACACAGAGTGCGAAGTTACTTATCCTGTGCTTTATTGTGATCAGTGAAATACGAAACCTCGTGTGAATACAAACTGATAACAGCGAAACATTCGCTTTGTGCAGGTAAATACAAACGCGGCGTGCTGGTTGCTGTGTGCCGTTACACCTTGCAAATGGCTGCAGAGATTACACACATAGGAGGTGAGTTTTGAATAAATGGAGTTAACCTGCTCAGTAGTGATGTCTGAAGTGAATATTTCTCTGCGTATGTGTAACAGCATTGGAAAGGTTAAATACGTACCTAATAGGGCTACACAGTTTCCACACGTGTTACCTACCACCAATGGCATTCTGGGTAGCTTTATATACTGAGTAGCTCTGTACACCTTTCATTGAGGTAGCGATCAGACCGAGGGAACAGTTTACAGTGTTGCAATGGTTGCTCCGATAACAGCTTACCTAAATTAATTAATGTGTTCATAGCTCTTTGCAGATAAATGAGACGAATTAATCGAACAGAATAAATTAAATTCGAGGTTCACACAGCAGTGAAGGTTTTATGTTGGTTTTCTAGGTGGTACCTATCTATATAAGGAATCTACACGGTGTTACTGCCCAGAAGACCAAAGCACCAATAACCCCGTTATTAGATCTACCTACAGACTTTTTTATTTATATGAAGTGATAATGGCCTGTGTGAAGTAAAATATGGAATACGTTTATGAACAGCGTCTGTTTTTGGGTGAACTTTATGGCATTCTTCCTATTACTATCAATTTACAGATGCTTCAGTCAATTACAACATACCAGTGAAATCGCAAATAATATTGTTAAACATTTTGTGATTTGCCTCATTCTATATTTAGGTAATTCTACGGGACAAACAAAAAATATTCTTATATGAAAACATTCCAGTGTAATTATGGCATTCAACACGATTTCTAAAACACTTTGGTTTATTATGGTAACGTATTTCGATATTAATATACCATCGTCAGGCCACTTTCATATAATGCGCCAGGTACGTGCTTGAATTATGATTAAAATTGTATTATAAATTTTCGTAAGTTTGAAATTGAATTAAAAATTTATATAAATTGAAAATGAGTCAAATTAGACTACTGATACAGTGAACAGGCCCATTCGATGCAAAAGGCTTTTACAAATAAATATCTTATTGACTGCGTAGACTGATTTTGTGTCGTTGAAGTAGACTGCCTATTAGATGTATGAGGTTGGTAAAGGTCGCGATAATGTTTTTGATGAAGGTAATATGCATCCCTCAAGGCGTAAAGCGGCCCTTCCACGTATGAGTCTGGCTCGGCGAGCTTGACTCGTGAGCCGGGCTCGGATATATTTCACCAAACATGCATAGCAGACTAGTCTCATGACACCCCACCCACAAACGAGTTTGGCTCTATGGAACCCGAGCCGAGCCGAGCCGGGCTCGCAGCCGTTTATTTGGGAAAAATCTTAAAGAACAAACCTTTTTTAACTCTTTACGTGGAACTTTCTTGGGACAGCCGCTTAATTGGGCCAAAGTGTTCTAGTCCCGATGTGTCCCAATTAATCGGAATCCACTGTATTAACGAAGCGTGCTTTCTGGTATCGGGTGAAATATTTTTCATCAAAGAGATGACTGAGTTTCATCACGTGTAAAATGTGCCCAGCACGCTGACTTTAATAAAATTGTTGAAATCTCGGTCTCCCACGGTTTTACTCTGTCTGTCTAATGTGTTCTGCGGGTGTTGCAATAATATTCTAGATTAAATCGATGTGCCGCTGTGAGGTAATCTTAAAGCCGTACCCATTAAAACACATGAAAGATTGTCGTCTGTTGTTCGTTCAGTGGTTGTGGAACGAATGCTTTTAGGATGGGTTGTCACTCACCGCGAAATCTTGCGCATGCGCGTATATCGAATTCCTAGCAGGGATTTTCTCCTGGTCTGCGGACTGTACATTTATAGGTTTGTGCGGTTTATTTTTCGATGTCAGCAGCGCAGATTGTAACGGCGAATGACAGAATTAACTAATAAAGAAGTGAAAATTTTCGGAATGAAACAGTTATGGCTTATTTCAGGGCACAATAAATTAATTTGTTTGGAGGGACTGAGGAAATCTACGATACACAATCATGATTGCCCGTCTTCCGGCCGAGATTTGAACCCGAGGCATTCCAAACGCAAAGCAGGAGTTCTATTCGACTGTGTGCATACGCAATTGTGGAAATATTTTGTGATTCTTGGAAAGTTTGATATGAGTGGAGTTTTGACGAATAACACCGTAATTTACTATGGTCGCATTCATTAAAATTGCTCACACAAGCACTGGAGCCTAAATTTTGGTTTATGACTACAAAATGAGCTGTCAGAATTTAATGCGATGATTCATGAACTCGTCTGTGATTCATCAGACCTATTAAATAATTGTTACTAGTAAGCTAATACAGCATAGTAAATTACGTATTGTTATTTACAAAAGCAATTTTTCAGGACGGGAGAATTAATACAGATCTAAATATTCTTACATCACGTGAGAGTCCACCATAACAGATTTTATACTACGGGACAATATTAAGAAGATGGTAACCAGTTAATGCACAAGATGCAAATGGTGTAGGAAGAAACATGAAGTAATTAAGACAATTAAGATAACAGGTTGTTTTTTTTTGGAAGTTTTGCCAAGATTTTTTTATAAATGCAGGCCAAGTATTTAATAGCTGTGAGTCAGTTTTTCTTCGTCTTTTACGTTGATGACAACTTCGTACATGCTGAGAATACGAAAATTAGCCCCATTTAAGAACACATGTCGAGTGGTAGGCACATTATGTTACCGAATAATGTGTACTGTCACACACGAGTGAAATTGTTTACGTAAGATCTGGCCACTTTGATGCCATTTTTGGTTTCTAAATGAAGTACCTACCTACAACAGCAATACGTAAACATCTGCTCTCCATTCCAATTATCGTTATTCACGCGCACGGACGGGAACACGCGAGTCATCAACATTTTTCTTCGAAGCCGGAAGACCGTTGCCGTCATCTTCATATTATTCCAAAGGTACATAATTCTACTGACTTTCTGGACGAACTGTAGAGTGGTGCACCCTGAAATTCCTCCCTTTCTGCTCTGTCTGCGTCTGACAATTACTTTCGCTTGTGATCCCATAATAATTATATTCGGACCTCACGTAGCCCCTGGCTGTCACACCACACGCAAGATAGATCCTGCATTTAAAATATGAAGTTTATTAACCAGAATGTTTTGATTTGTGTACGCTTTATACGACGGAGAACACTCCATCTGTTGATGTACTTTATGACTGTTACGTATTTCGTCGTAACTCGGGCAAATGGGCAGTTGGACACAAAGAGAAGGGGTGACGTGTGGGATAGTCCAGTATTGGGTTACAACAGTAAATACGTAGCTTAAATAAAAGGCAAAAATATTGGCATCATCGTCAGATATATTAAAGGAATAGTGACTTCCAGTTCAGCAGATAAACAACAATTATTTCTCACAAATACCGATCTCATGCCTGAGTCTAAGCAGATTTAAATCCTAAACGCATTTTGGCTGATACCACACACAGGGCTGTAGTGATATACTAAATCAAAATACTCTTTTAGAGTTCCTTTTTCCGGTGTTGCAACACGTACGTTCTTTAAAACTGGTAGTCTTGCCTGTATCGATGACGCATATCCGGTGACCGATTGGAAAATATCGTTCTGCACGCGTAAAAATAAATGGTACTCAAATTAATACCTTTCACGAAACTCTCACTTACATGTTTAGCCTAACTGTTTGGCCATAATCGACGACTTTTCCAAATAAAAGTGAATGCCGATAAGTACGAGTATTTTACCACTGCCACTATATACATCTTACATCTTACATCTTCAAGGTCATTTTATGCAGACGCTCGATAGAACAACTATCAGGTGTCTTTTAACTGACCTATAACACAGCATAGTAGAATGATTCAACGGTCTCGGCAGAATTGTAAGCAGGCGCCAGTGTGCCCGATAAAAAAAAATGAAATCTCAGACTCATTAGAGCATTTATAAATCCGTACTGCAGGCAGCTTACAGGAGAAACAGTCACAGAAGATTAATACGAAATACCAATCATCTAAGGAGAGAAAAAATTGTTGGGTGCATAAATTTATTTTCTTTCATTCTGACACTACAAAAAAGAGCCCGTTCACAACGTGAATGATAGATTCAAGCTTCCGTAAAAAAAGAAATGTATACTTTGCAAGTGAAACGTGTTTTGGGCGTAGCAAAGCAAATCAGAAACAAAATTAAATCAAATACTGAGACGAAGTGGCGTGATATAGCGGCGTGCCGGGGGGGGGGGGCTTGATAATCTGACGGCCCTATTCACGAATACCAGGAGGAAGTCATTTTGTTTTCTATGAAAGTAATAAACTCTTTTCGTAATTGCATGTGATACATGGAGACGCCTGCCATACTGGGTCCCACAACTCGTATACCTGTAGAGAGTTGAATTAAAATTTTAGTGTAAGACATTTAATTCCTGTCACGCACAGTTTAATGACTGCTTTTGGTGTTGTGTAATGTGCATACATATAAACGTTTTCTTAGATAATTTACGGGTTATAGATGTGAAAGTATTGACATAATTAAACAGATAATTAGAAGAATCTCGTTAATGTTTTTGATTTATGTGTCTTCATTTGGGCAAATTGTTTTCTAGGTTAATGGTGCGCACAATTAAGTGATAATTTATTCTAGTTTCCTTTATCCTTATGAAATTCATCTGGTGTCTGTAATCGGGACATCCGAAGGTAACTGGGATGATGTTATAGGATTTGAGACTTTCGCTTCGAGTACAATCAATAAAATATTCTCGGGCAATCAGCCGCGTTAGCTGGTTACCGTAGTAAACCGACGTTTCGGGAACAAACTTTGTCCCCATCTTCAGGATTCTGATGTGACTGGATCCTCGGAAGTCGCCGCGTCCTGATGACGGAGGCAGTATGACCCCAGAAACATTGGTTAACATCGACCAGACTACACAGCGCAACAACCCAGAAGACAAAAATCTGCACATCGCTCGTTGTTACTGTGCCGACAAAATTCGATTACAATCAAATGGCGTTATATACCTACATCCAAACAATGGAACCCAGGACGTCAAGGTTTTGATGTGTGCTATATTTTATACGCTGCAGGCATGGACCAACGCGATGATGTCATATGTCCAAGTCAGACACAACATCCACAAGGGATCATGTTGTGACGCTGATGAAAGGCGAGTATCATCATTGCGATTGCCATGGGACAATGAAGTGAGTTCGTAAATTAATCGAACCCAACACAAAGAAGCGTATATTTAGGTAGCATTTTTTATAATTGACCTGTAGGAACGAACATGGCATTCGACCGCATTTCTTCTTGTCCCAAAACCGTATTTAATCCGAATCCGTGCAATACTCTTGGAGATGAAACATTACTACTGACGGGTTAAATATATAACAAGCATCATAAACATATAATACTGTTCTTAGGTTTCTGATTGTATTTTAACATGTGTCAGGAACCAGTCAGAATTTTCTGCGCAGAATTTATTGAATTTAATTTTCAATTCATAAATTTTCGCCTTACGAACAGTATTAATCGACCGAATTACGTTTGAAAATCGAGGGATGGCTGTAATTAATTTAATCGCGACTTCTTTTAACGATGCTCTGTGTAGCGATGTAAAAAATGACTAATAAAAATGAATGGTACTCTGGTTAAAGTTTACCGTCGTTTCGCTCTGCTGATGGAGGCAATAAGTATCTCTGAAACGTCAGTAAAATACCAGATAAGACGGCGCAACAAACCGAAAGATTCATATTCGAACTGGTAATTATGTGGAAGGAAGTGGCCATTTCGTGCTTTGAGACAAGGTCCTCACCCACCATTTGCCTGAAGGGGCGAGGAAGTCACATTATTAGAATTTCTAGAGGCCAAAATTTCAAGCCGGGCTTTCCGGAATACGAAGCGGGGATGTTATCCTCTCGACTGCAAATTTCGCTAAACAGTGGTCAGTGTTTATTGCTCGCGGAGCTCTGAACAGAGTCGAGTAACTGCGGAACGTCTTGTATACAGGTAGAGATTGGCGCTGGTCACTTACCGCGAAAAGGGTCCTGAGGTTAACAATTCGCATAGTAGACTGACTCGACAAGCTGTCGCCGACCATCGACCGGCAACAGGCTGGGCAGTGTGCTCAGCTGAAGACGGCCAAGTCCCTCCGACTTCACCGATGACAATTTTTCGACTTGTAGAGGTAGTGGCGATGAGATGTAGAAGATCATTAGGAACTTGAAATGATCGGCTGCCGGTATTGTTCCCACATCTGCAGACTCCTTCGTTGCCACGGGGTGGTGATTGGCGGTGCTTCGATGTAGGTCGCGCCTGTCAGAGGACAAGAGTTGATGTCGATAAGAGAATGGCAAGGCCCGGCATTATGTAGCCCTTAAGAATCAGCACACCCACGCACCATTCAGCAAGAGAGCGAGTCACAACATTAACTAAGCTCGTATTACAGTGACACACAATGACTGGTTTGTTTTTATTTATACAAAGTTAATTAGGAGACTTGAATGAGAGCCAGGGATGATGAAGAACATAATGTTGGGTGAATTCGCATTCGAACTGCAATTTACACCAACTCTGAAACAAAACAGACCGTTCAAAACACAGTTAATTGAGCTCCACAAGGTAACATTATTCTACATTGTTTTTGAAGAATCAGATTATATAGTGGGTGGAATATTGCCTTACTTCAGCCTAACTCTTGTAACATCTACTGACCCCGTATTTATCTAATTCTAAACTTGCGTGGGAGTCTGACACACTTTTCACTTCTCGGAGAATCTGATATTCAGGATCACATGGTTATTTTGTGACAAAGACTTCGTTCAGTATTGAATTTCGACAGCAGTTACAGTGCCTTGCTGAGAAAGGTTTTGAAGATGGGTGTCTTCTGGGTTGTTGCGCCGTGTAGTCTGGTAGAAGTTTTATTACCAAAATGCCAACATGGGGGTTGTCGAAAGTAAAATGTAACTGATGTCTGACCGGTAATGAACTTTTGGGTTCTGTGAAACGCGAGGAACTTTGTGACTAGTTGAGTGACTCTAAGCTTCTCATCTAGAACTCTTTCCGACAGACCATGTGGGTGCATTTTATATTTGTAGGTCTTGTATGATTTTCAGTAAAGAGTGGTTATTTTCTCACACTGCCTTAACTAGTTGATTCTGACGTGACGTGTTGTGTTTCCTTTGATGTACGCACCGAATTCTTGATATCTTTCAGGTAAGTTTCGACTTCAAAGAGTCTAACCGCATTTCCAAAATAGGACGTCATAGCATATTTCATGAGGGGTCGTGTCATGTTGCGATCTGTCATAAAATTAGACTCAGATATACGTGGTTTTCTTTAGTCCCCGTGCCTGAAGACGAGACCCACTTTTCGGGTGAAAGCGATTACCTCCTTCTTCTCTCCTATTGCAGCCGAAATAGACGTCCTCGTTATGACTAGACTTATATCGAAATACTTCCTGCATATTTTTTTAGGGATTATTTACACAAAGTATCTTTGTGGGGTAAGTGCTGAAACTAGTAAAACCTAATAACTTGTTTTGATAGCTTTCGGTCATATTAGTTTTTGTCAGAAGATAATGCCGACGGCATCATTTTGGTCTGCGCATGGCAGTTTTATTGGTTTTGTGATTGGCTAGTGGGCGTGTACCCTTCTCACAGATTCGTGGGCGAGCTGTGAAATTGTTACCGAGGGCGATATAAAATGTTGGGCTTCAGGAAATCGAAATGTAACTCAGTCGATAATAACCTGCCCATTAGAATAGGCCTAGGAGTCAGAGGAGTTGAGAGGATTGGCAGATAAGGAAACATAAACATTATACTCGTATATACCAGTCGCAGAAGTTTGTATGTCGCCGTCTCCTATCCAGCGTTTGTAATGACTTTGGTCTGCGTAACATACGTTTTCTGACAGCAAGCTAGCTACTGACGTAGGTGGATAGCACTTCGGTCTCCGCTGATGGAACAGTTTTTTTTAAAGCATTTGTTCCTGTAATTTACTAGACGGACAATTCAGGTCTGAGTCTAATTCCCCCATCTGTAGTTTCAATGGTAAAGAAAACGCTTTTACCGGGACTCGAACCGCGGACATTCTTTTCGGATTTGTGACAATCATATCTTGTCTTAGAGATTTGCTTAAAGAACTTCACAAAACGCATTAATACTAGACGTCACATTAAGATAAGCCGTTGTGAGGGCAGACTTGCATTTCGTGTAAGTTTAGGCCTCACTGCACTTCCCCACTCTTTCAAAATAATTTCGGTGGTCTACATCAGTTGAGATCGCCTTCAATCTGTTGTAGAACAAGGAATAACAGGTCAATTTCTAGTCGCACTGGCAACGCAGGGTCTTTAAGCACCTCTCCACAGTGTCGTCATAGAGGTGTTTCATGAATAACAGTCATTCACTCCAATTAAATTGAGACTGGCTTCAGAAACTTTGTCACTACCAACCTCAGTTCTCAATTAACTGCCCATTTTTAAAGTGGTCTGTTCTGTTGAATTATTCATTATTTAGAATCTTGTAGTCTGAGAGCATCCTGAATTAGTACTGCTTCTACATGTTTTCTACCTAGTAACGTTTCCTGTTGTGCTCTTGAAACTGTCGTTGACGTTGTATGATGGCTGGGTGGGGTCAGAACCCTTGTCTAAGCTTAATATTCGTTGTAAAATATCACGTCAGGCTCGGAGTTAAGGAGTCATTGCAGTTGTAAATTTCAGAATTTCACAAAGTCTTTGGCTGGCGGGAATGGAATTTCTCATGATAGTTTCCTCCCCTATAAAGGGAGCAGTCATTTTTTATATCATCACCCATGTCCAAAAATTGAATATAATCTTCTGGATAGCTTATTTATAAATCTTTCAACAAATTCTCATCAGAAATTATGTCGCGCCTTGAACCAGTCTTTCATCCATCGCCTTCTTATTCTTTTCCTTAGCACCAACAGTTAACGCCAAAATAATAACGAAATATATACCCTTTTGATGCATATTTTAAAGCTAATTTAACCCCTTTAGTCACTTTTTTTTAACTATCCTTGCAGAAAATTTGATTCGTACGGACTATGAAATTGCTCAAATCTTATTGAGTAATTATTACTGTCAGTTGTAGTACAGCTCGTGAGCCGGGATAGCTCAGTCAGTATAGTGACTAGCTACGGGCTGGACGACTGGGGTTCGATCCCCGACGGGGGCAGAGGGTTTTTCCTCTAGCCTCTGCGTCCAGACCAGCTCTGGGGCCCACCCAGCCTCCTCTACAATGGGTACCGGGGTCCTTTCCCGGAGGTAAAGCCGGCCGGGGCGTGATGCTGACCACTCACCCCCATCTAGTGCCGAGGTCAAGGAAGAGAGGAGCTATACCTCCTCTCACCCCAAGTGCCTACATGGCGTATAGTGGGACAAACTTTACTTTACTTTACATCGCTTAGGATTAGAGCAATCTGCTTACAAAATTGTGGAATAAAACGTGTATACGTTCTTTAAGAGGGGGGACACACGTATAATACCATCGCCAAAGACAGAGAAGAAAAACTACAATAATCACGTAACTTCCCGTCTATTGCAATACGATCAGTGTAACACATGGACATCAGTGACACCGTTCCCATACACAAATTTATATTAATGACTTTTGTCGTCTAATTCCCACTGTTAATTTCTCCGGAATATAAAAACCCTGGTTTCTTATACATCAACAGAGTAGAGACAGCAATGAAAGAACTGCACAATTGTAGACATTTAAAGAATGTTTCAGACTATCAAAGAAACTTAAAAGCTATATCCAGTCAACAACAATAATTTTCAATTACTTTGTGTCGCAGACAGTTGTGTTCTGTAGTGAAATTAACTACTGAATTAGCAGAATCTTAGGACAGAGAGTTGTGGGCCCACCAAATTTGTAACTTTAAAAAAACACCATGGAGTAACGTCCTTATTACGAAGGTAAATGGTCAGTCAGCTGATCAACAAAATTTGCGTACTTTATGGAACGTTAAAAATTTGCAAAAGTCGACCAGATAGATGCCAACAGTCACCACCGACCTTAAAATAATAACAAGCTAATATAATAATGATAGTCAATCATCTGAAGATGTATTCTGAACCAACGGGCGAAACGTGCATACTGAATGGTCTGTGTCTTAGTCACAAGACACTGTACAACGTAATGCTGATAAATTTTGTGACAAACTTGACCGACGGCTCCAGAAATTGTAGTTTAAATTCCGAAGCGCCTGAGTTTTGGCAGAAACCCAGCGACTTTAAGTGTGTTCACGTTTGATAATCTTAGGAATGGTAGAACACGTACACACAACAGTTTCTCGTGAGCAACATTAATGAAACGGTGTGCATTAGTCGGCGATAGGTGTGCGAGGTATTGTAAATTATCGAATTAGAGTAGAGTGGGTAAGCCATTACATTTTATTTTAAATCTAAAAAATAACAAGGCTTCTCGGCGCATGCAGCCTTAAGATCACCGCCTTCTTTCTGAGAACCAGTCCCGTTCGCACTACTTATCGGTTGACGGACATGTCCTCGCGCGTTGGAGAAGCTTAATGTTACACCTCCTAGCACATTACTATATCACACTCCACGACTTCACTTACAAGACCAAACACCTTTTTTTTGCTTGTAAAACATGGCAAAGGCCACTCTTTTATTATTACTAGAGAAACCTGTGTAAAACATCATAAAAGCCAGTTTATGACACGGTGGGAACATGCTTCTATTGAAAAGTCACTGTTGCAGCTATAAGTAATGATTTTCTGAGGAGCTAATTCGCTATGTTGACTTAAGAAAACGTGCTAAATCTGACGTTATGTAACCATTTCATGACCGCGACTCCTGTAATTCTTCATCGAGGCCTGTCATATCATGCGTTGAATATTTTCCTGTGTACCATCGTGAAACTAAACACACATACGTAATTCGTCTGCGGCAGCGAGCATCAGAAAACGTTTCTCCGCTACTGGTACAGAAGGAAAAGCTCAGTCGAGTTCCAGCAAAATAAACATCCTTGGAGGCGTTACGACCCGACTGGTCTTTTGATGTCGACAGACACCCTCGGCTTCTTGCGACACGCACACACGCGTAAGTTGTGCAATCGAATATGTTCCGACTCGGATACGCGGGTCACACCCCAATACTACAACCGTATGTTCAGATTGGTACGTTAACCAAATGCACACTTTACGTCTTTTACGAATTTCAAAAGATTTCCGCTGAATAACGTTCTTGCTTCATCAGCCTTATCACTTATAACCTTACGATTGTTTTGAGTTTTCAGAATTGTTTAGTGTCTTTCTTTTTACGTATACGATATTTTTCATCCTGTTGTAAAACCAAAGCCCACTAAAAGGAAATTTCCCCTTACCACACTTTTTTGCTGTAAATGTGGTACTTTATAATTTTAACACTTTACTGTCAAAAAATATAATGCACACATTTTAAAGTGCGCGCTTGATGCCAGTGGTAGTTTCTAGTGTGTGATGTCATATACCTATGACATCCTATTCCTTTTCATCACGCTGCAAATCGATTTTCAGCCTACATGTTATGAAACACACGTTAATTTAGTCGAACAAAAAATTGTGATGGTTCGTATTTTATTCTATGACAGTTCAGATATAAGAAAATAAAAAAACAGACAGACGGGAAGGGTTGAAGTGCCATCCCACCCCTAAAATATTCGGGAAAATCTTAGAGGCTTATTGAGAAAAATTCAGCTTTGAACGGAAGATTTACCTGTAATGTTGAAGGGGCCAAAATTAATTTTGAAGCGAATCTAACGAACCCCATGGGGAAGAATCCGAGTCACTTGGTTTTGTACACTCGGCTGCTGTGATGTAGATTTTCAAATTTTAATTCTTTCGACTCAGCTTGGATAGGCGTTTTATTAAACAACTCGTAATTTACGTCGTATTTTGAACGGAAGATTTCAAATTTGACACCTCATTAGACCCCAACTTACGTCGTTAGGCCCACATGTAGTCTATAGCCTGTGTGGATTTACCTTAATTTAAAAAAACATGTCCATGTAATTTAGATTATTGTAATAAATTTGGTTCTTATGTTTAGAGTACACCGCCGTGTTACGTAACAGTTATTATACAGACTCGTTTCAGAGCAGAAATATTAATTTTATAATTCGCGTGTTTTGAAATCAGAACTTATAACGGGTGGTAATCAACCGTCCGTTCACAACTTCCTTGGCGTTTTACCTTTCCTTTCTTATTGTATTCTCTTTTAAACTTTGTCTTGTTACAAATTATCCGTTTATACATGCCTTTTCTTCACCTCCTTGTACGACTCGTAATGAATTACATTCCGGTTTCAGGCTTTCTACGCTGCTAGCGATGCCCGATAATTACGGAGCGCTGCAGTTGTTCACAGCCATGGCGTGAAGAAGGCGCTCAGGGCTACGACTGACTACAACAAGGTAGGATAGCCCTGCTACCTTCTTCTGCTAGTTACTTGGTATTACATGACTCTTCCACCGCTCGATACGTCTTGCGTCTGCGATCCATTGAGGGCCTACAAGCTTCGAGCCCTGCCAATAGTAGACATACAATGATTGCTTGCTGACCAGAAGAAACTTCTTATTCTTGTTCTTATTAAAGGTTTTGAAGTGCACGATGGCCGGTAGCAGCTGCCGCGTGGTCTGGGGCGTGGGTGTTGTCACTCGGATCTTGGGTTCTAATCTTGGTCAAAGAATGGGCGTCTGTCCGCGTATTTCTATACTGCGCTGTCCTTGGTGGGTAGAGGCCTTGCGTCGAGCTGATCATTCGTCCGAGGAGTCCTATTAAACAGCTTAAAAACCTCCCATATGTGAGGCGGTCAACGACTGTAGACCCACGGATTAAGTACGAAGAGAGTTTCTTTTATTTTTACACTGGAAACTACACGGTCAGCCCATTGCATTCTTATCGCACGTAACAACCCTTGAAGGAATAAAACGTACTACGATAAATATATTCCGTGAAAGAAAAATACATAGACCCCCCATTTTGTTTTTAGGGTACGAAAATTATCAAATAAATTAAATATGATTTTTGTAGCACCATTGACATATTTTAATATAAATGACGCTAAATAATGACAGGCTACTAACAAAGTTAATGAACCGATAGACATATGTCGAATTTCAGGACCAGTTTTTATGAGTCACCTCACATCGAATAGGTGCATTAATTTGACATATTACTGTGTGCTGATGCTTAAAGAGGGGTGGGGCGATTTCGGAAGCTTAAAAGTTTTTGAGTTGTTGCATCTGACAGTCAGAAGATGAAGAAAATGAAAGCGATTGATCGAAGTTTTCTTTCACAATACTAATTCATTTATGGAGATAACGTAATTTTTTTTTCATATCTTCTTAAGCAGTGTAAAGGTCCGATATTACGTAAATCTAATCCCAAATCCGGACTAACAGTAATTTGAAATATGTGTCCGGAAATAAGGAAAATAATATTGCCTAATCCAATAATTCGCCAACCACAAGCGTGTAATTATGCCTCTGGAATTATCTGCACGATTGGTTTCTCTTCGAATCTGAAATCTGTTACAATGGATTGCACATTTTTCTGTATTCACAAGGTGAGAAACATTCTGTACTTTTATAATGACGGTAAAATCTAATGTCGGTTTTAATGGCTCTTGAAACACAAAGTACACGTAAAACAACTCAATGAAAGCTGAAACTGTATTCGAGAAAAGTTCTATCATGTAACTTAAGAAATTTGTAAGTCCGTCACGTTCAAACAATAATTACGAAAACTTTATGAGGATCCAGAGTTAGCGCCTGTACCGTATTTGAATGAAGTACTTTCTTTTGGCCCAGGACACGCGCTCTGCCTTTAAAACAAGACAAAAAGTCGTCGGACCTGGTGACAGTCAGTGGATATTTTATTGGAAACGTAATTTTCAGTGACAATGACATAAAGCGCACTGTTAACATTATCAGTGGGTCTGTTTATTTGATAAGCTTTGTCGGTCCTTTCGTGATAATTTGTCGTGGGCATCGGTTGCTAACAGCACAGAACATTCGGTGACTGTGAATGAGACCAGAATTTTTAGTAACAAGGCCGTCGGAAGATCTTGAAGGCTCAGAGAATAAACTTGTGACGGTAGGTAAATTACAGGGACTGGCGGTAATAGCAGCAGGACAGCGGCCATTTGATGAATAGCCCACACTGCCTTGAGCATACAAATTGATCACTACCTTCGAGAATTAACAATATTATTCCCGATCATGATATGTTTCAGTTTTCTGAGTAATTATAAACTCTATCTAATAAGTATTCTACGGACAAATTAGACGTTTTAATTAATACGAATCGTGATATGTTGATGACTTTTTTTGTGGATCTTGCTGCCTTTATCATCAG